TATGACCTTTGCTGCTTTTGTGGTCGGGCTCGTCTTTGGCGCGGCGAATCAGCTCGTCCGCAATAGTGCGCTCCAGCTGGCGGATGCGATCCTCCTTGGACTCCACCTCACGGTTACGTCGCTCCAACGCGCTCGACTTCTCCGATAAACGCAACTCCAACTCATTCGTGTACTGCTTCGCCAGTTGGAGCTCATCCTGCAGCTCTTGCACCATCTGCTCCAAGTGGGTTGGGGAGCTGCCTGTCGTTGGCGCGGCAACGCTAGTCACTCCCCTCGTTGTAACGGCTCCTTTAGCGTCAGCCGACGCCAGGCGCATGTTCTCTGCGCGGAGTACCTTAATCTCCTTCTCTAGCAACAAAAGGCGGTGCTCCGCGGCGATGTTCTTCTTCTTCTCCTGTGCCAACTCTATTTGTAGGCTCATGAAGGAATTCTCATTGCGTGTGACACTTGATTCCCGGGCAGCCTCTTCAGTGCCAACACTGCTGCTGTTGTTATTGTTATTATTGTTATCGTTCTTGTTGCTGTTAGCATCGCTTGTGTCACCTTGTCTCTCATTCTCTACCTTGTTGTTCGGCACACGAACCCCAACACCACCAGAAACAGCAGTAGCAGCTGTCATCGGCGGTGCTGTCGTCAGCGTCTGTCCCACCGGAACTGCTGTTGGAACCTCCAATATATTCACCACCGGTATCGCACAGTTCTCCACGCTAGCAAGCCGCCGCACAGCACCATAGCCATCGTCATCATCCTTACCACCATCGCCTCTCGCGGCTGCCTGCCCGCCGTGGCGTTGCGCGCTATCCCTCACGTTGCTCCTCTGCGTGTCAGTGCCGTCACCCTCGCGCCCGCTGTTGCGCTGTGACTTTGCGCGTGGTCGTTCGTTGGAGCCACCCATCACGCCACCTCTGGCGTCATGATAATTCGGTGTGTTCTCCGACGGCGGCGTGGACTCCATGTCGGCCATCCTGCTGCGGGCTTCCAGCCGCATGTTCTCCCACTGCATTCGGCGCGACATTTCACGGCCGGTGTCTTTACGTTTGCTGACTTTTCTTTGCCCTTTGTTTCGTTTTGCCACCACTAACCCTCTGCGCTTATGGTGTTCGGTCTCCGCCTTCCGCTAGCGTGGCTCTCCAGCTCTAGCTACTCTGCTATCATGGCAACAAGAGGAACAATTGAAGCGAGTGAGTGAGTGAGTGAGTGGGTAAGAGGGAAAAGGAAAAACAAATGCCGCAGAGCAGATGCAATTGTCCCATAACTTTTTTTTGTCTTTTCGTGCTGCTCCTCTGCCGCTGCCCAGCCCGGACATGCATAGCCCATGGTTGGAACTAAAAAAGGAAAAAAAAA